TATTAATCCTCCAGGCAATCCTCCGGGCAATCCTCCTGGCAGCTGTTCACTCCTTCCCTAAAAATCAAGACCCTTTCTCAACTCCTAGCTCAGCTCCTAGACTTCATGGATGCCCTGCTGTATTCACCTATTGACAGCCATTGGCATGCTGCCTCCTACCCAACTGATCTGATGGGTCTTGCAGTTCTAAAGCCAGGTCATTTTTTGCGGCAATGAAACAGAACTGGTTCATCCTTTTCTAACTTCCCAATCCCTCTCTGGGATTTCCTCCTGATCTCTCCCCCTGAAGTAGTAACCACATCTGATCCTGTTTAGCTTTTCAGAATCAGCTGGGTGCTGGTTATACACAAAAGTAACCGTGCAAATGCTGACCTCTATATCCCTTTGTTCCTCCCTCCCCTCTCGTAATCCTCTGCTGCCATGTTCCATTATGCCATAAGTACCTGCCTCCCACGGTGACTATGACGGGCGATCGGCTGAAGACCCTCCGTGAGCACATGCAATCCAACAACCTTGCAGCCTATATTGTCCCTACCACAGATGCACACTTGGTAAGTTAAAGAATACAGGATCAGCTCCACTTGATCCAAGGGTGGAGCGCTGAGGCAAGGAGGTAGACCCCAACCATGGTTGAACTACCACCACAGGATGGACAATTTGCAGGCCCAGGGCTCCCTTTCTACACCCTTCAGAGTTGATCCTCCTTGCAGAACATAGTTTCTCACCATTCTCAAGTGGGAAATAAAGATATAAGCCCAGAATTCAAACTCCTACCCTAACTCAGCTTCACCCCTCTGTGAAGTCCATGCTGAGTGCTGTTCTTGGCTACAAAAGGTTGCTTACATGGTCTGCTAAGACAAAGTGTTGAGTTTTCTGAAAAGTGAAGCGTATAGATAGGTCTGGGATCCTTTTCACATAGGACAGCTATCTCTAGGGCCAGGGCCATCTCTTGGTCTGAAAACCTTCCCATTTTTCAGAGTGAATACATCGCTGAACGGGACAAGAGGCTCACTTGGATGTCAGGCTTTTCAGGATCAGCAGGTGAGTCCTATTCTAGACCTTCAGCAACCTAAATTTCGTAGTTGAGCCTCAGGTCATCAGGAATCAAAATAACATCTGTCCTGAATGCCAATTGGTGATCACAAAGTACCTCTGAATTCATTCTCAATCATCACAGGAAACAACCACATTTCACTCCCAGAGTCATAAGATAGGGCCTCAACAGTCAAAAGATACAATTTTCAAGGCCATCTCTTTGGCTGTATTCACTCAATAGGTTTGACCAAGACAATCAAAGACCTTGACCCGCATTTGAACAACATACTAAAGTTGGTAGAGTTAACTATTTTTACTTTGATTTTGTAGTTTAGTAGTAGCTTAGCCTGCTATGCAAACCCAGGTTGCTTGGTTAGTTTATGGCTCAACTGGATTGTGCAAACCCAGAAAAACCAGATTAATTTCATAATGAGGTTAAGTGTGTTGTGAATGTAGTAAACACCTTTGCCAGTGGTGTATCACCATCACCAGTGTTTCTTGCAGCACCCATGCATGGTAAGAGTAAGACCCACCTACATCCACTTGAGAGCCCAGTTCCCAGATGCTTGCAACAGAAGATGAGAAAAAGAACAATCCAAGGGGCCAAGTGGGAGTAGGACATCTGCTGCCATGCTTTCCCTAAAGCTTAGCCTATCAGGGAACCCAAGCAAGGTTCACGTGGGTGAAGATTGATGCTCCAAGTGGTCAATGACTGAATGGGTCTTGGGGTTGGGAGGTGAAGATGTTCATGCATCAAATATTGCAGACAGGGCTTTCTGAGACAGCTTTCAGAGGGACCAATTCGCTCCCTGAACTATGGGCTCATGTTCTGAGATCTTTTCTGACTATGTGTATCTAATATAGATGATATCCACGTTGCCTGGTGGTGCCAAAAACTGGAGTATCCCTGCCCTGAAGCCTAGACCCCAGCCCCAGTTCAGCACCACTAGAAATGCTGCCTGAGAAGGGCTAGGGAGAGAAAGAATGGAAAATGAGAATGGAAATGGCCCATGAATAGGAATAAAGGAGTGGGGGGGGGCTCCCCAGATGGCTGCCTCCCCCAAGGGCCCTCAACTCTAGCAGCCCCACTGACTTTTTCTGGTGAAAAGAGCCCCACTGATAATCAGCACATGAGCACTAGGAGCACAGAAAGCCACTGCATCAGCCTTGTGACCCTCTGAACACAACTACCCAAAGTTTGGACCTACTCAGTTTCCTCCGACAGTGTACTACATCAGTCCTCATCCATTTCCATTTGGCCAATTTTCCTTCTGGACAAATGTTATAGCTCTAAGTCATTTAGTTAGAATATACAGGACATAACAATCTTGGCTGCTTTTGCTGCTACAGACAAAGAGAACTCCTTCTGGGACTGTAGACAAGCATGATGCAAGTGGTATGGAGTCATGGTATCATCTTAGCCATGCTCATAAATCAGTTTATATGGGTTGGTTCCTCCTTTTCCTTGGGCATATGGTGGGTGTTGCTCAACCATGTCCTGAAATTAGGGGGCAACAGTATAATTCCCAAGGAAGTTGCAATGGCCGGGGTATTTGAGTGGGATGTAGGGATTATATTTTATTTTTTCGCTGTGTTGGATACACAGAAGCCATTCTGCTGGGGTTACAATGGGTCATCTCCAGCCCCAGGATAAATGCAGTATCAGATTACTCCACCCCCAGTTGAATTATGAATATATGCTAGAAAGAAAAAGAGCAAATGTATTTATACAAAATAATAGTAATAAAAGACTCTTTCTTACTAGATCTTGCAATCAGAACTGCAGTGCGATAGCTGGATTTAATGTATTCAAGATGCTTAAATGTGCTAGATGGATTCACACTGTATGCATTTTTTAAAAATCAACAAAAAGAGACATAAACCTCCCACATGTAATTTCCCACATCTGTCATCCAATTGCTGAACCTACATATGTATGTAAACTAAAAATGTCTAAAAAGCTTTCTCTAGTTTGATGTTAGCAGATTTCAGAAAAGATGCACTTGAGTTTTAAAACTCACTCATAGCATCAATTGGCAAAATATTTTCACCTTCTTTGAAAGTTGGATTTCAGGGAATTTAGGACCTACTCTCAATTTAAACCTAAAATCTTAATTTACAATAAAGATACACATGCTATGAGATGTCCTTTCTGCTGAGTGTCCTGCTGAGTGTCCTTTCTTCACCAACAGAAGAAACTGAACTGGGAAACAGAAGTGAAAGCTGAACATAAAAATATGTTTTTCAACTACATTTTGCCCTCAGCCTCTCTGATTTTAGAAATTAATCCTTAGGAACTGGCGTGATCACCCTACAGAAAGCTGCCCTCTTCACAGACAGCCGCTACTGGATCCAAGCTGAGCGTCAGATGGACTGCAACTGGGAACTGCAGAAATCGGGTTCGTCCTTGTCTTAACTTTGTCTTAGTGCTCCACATTCTCTCTTTCCAACTCCAGGGCTGCCCACTAGCTCTTGTCCATGAAAGTGATATCCTAAAGCAGTATTTCTCAGCCTTGGCAACTTTAAAATGCATGGACTTCAACACCCAGAATTCTGGGAGTTGAAGTCCACACATCTTAAAGTTGCCGAGGTTAAGAAACACTGCTCTAAAGCAATCTTCTCCAAACTTCCTTCCTCCAGATGTGTTGGGACCACAACTCCCAGAATCCCCTAGCCAGAAGGCCAGGTGGGCTGGGCACCATTGGATTTGCTGAGCCAACATAGCTGGAGGTAAAGCAAGTAGGACAAGAAAGTGGTCCTACGATGCTTTGCTGTAAAATAGATGGCTGGTTCCAATACAAAATGCATCTTTGAAGGCAGGAAGAGTTGGGGACCAGAAGCTGCAGGACAACATTGTCTCGGAGAAGAAACTGGGTCATGCTCAGTTCGAGAAATCATGGGCCAGATATTCTCCTTGCAGAGTCCTCTTGGACAAAGGGCCATCTCTTCCTCTTCCTTGCTGCTTTCCTCATTTATTTGCTGTACCCTCTGAGCCAAATCAAGTCCAACTCCCAGAAAAGAAGAAAGCAACAGAGTCTGGGGCAGCTCCTTCTCCTTCAGCAGTTGGCAGCCTCAGAAAGGGCAGATGGACAGTTAACACAGCCAGAAGAATGGGCAGCATCTGTAGGAAGAGGCTGCAGAGATCTTGGGAGGTGGACCTGGTGGTGCTGATAACCAATGCTGGCTTCGAACCTGTCTAACCCATCTTACCTTTTCAGGTCTGCGCTAAGAGCCACCACCGACTTGATGGCACATAATCAATCAAGAAGAGACTTAATTTCTATCTTTTTACCATAAGATTGTAGGAAACAGCCTCTTACTCTTGAATCAGACCATTGGTTTCTTTAACATAGTACTGTCTACATTGACTGGCAGTTTTCCACCTCTCCCTGGAAGTCCTGGAGATCAGATCTGGGCCTTCTGCCTACTCAGCAAGTGCGCAACCACTGTTCCATGTCCCTTCCAATGACTGACTCATGGGCTAGCTCTTGCGGCCACTGCAGTGGGAGTCAGCTCTTGCTGGGTTGGTCCATGATTGCAGCCATCCAATCCTTCAGCTAAAGCACAGAAAGAGGCATGGCTGACATGTCCTTTCTTTTGCAGCGTGGACTGACGCTATTGGACAATGGATACTCAATGAAGTTCCTACTGGGGAAAGAATTGGACTGGATCCCTTCCTCTTTTCTATTGGTATGAAGCATCTTTGAACTGAGTTTCTCGGGCACATCTGGGTCAGATTCAAGAAGCAGGTGACCAGTCCACCAAGGAAGATGATGCTACCTTGTTTTCTTTCTGTTGCTTGCCCTTCATTAGCAGCTTGCACTGAAATGCTTAAGTAACTGCATGCTGCCATGACTTCCCCTCTCTCCCATTATAGTCCCCTGGCTGAAGAAAGCAGGTCTGGTGTGATTTTCCAAGTTCTCTCCTTCCCATTCTCTTTCCTTAGATAATGGGGAAGACTATTACCAGATCCTGGAAGGTGAAAATAGGACCTTTGTTCCCCTTGAAGACAATCTGGTAGATCTCGTGTGGGGCACCCAGCGGCCTCCTCCACCCACCAACATAATCTACCACCTCTCAGACGACTTCATTGGTATATTTGGGGCACAAATGAAGTGACAAAGGGAGACTGGTGGGGAGGCTTGGCCATACTGGCTGGGGATGAAGGATGCTGTAGTTCAATATATCTGGAACACATCCATTTCAGAAGGATGGTCTTAGGGTAATCCTCCTCACCTTAAATTGGCTGCCTATCCGTTCTGCTGTTTAGTAGAAGCAGGATTGCAGATGATAAGAAAACGTTTTTCTTGCTATATTGGGGCCAAACTGGACACTATTTTATAGTGAAGGCCAGGAGGTGTAATTTCTCATCAGTCAGACCTCCCATTCCTTTTTGTGATGGAATGGAATTATGAAGGCCAGGCTCGGGGAGATAAGCATTTTCTTAGCTCACTGAAAGAGCGTGGGAACCC